GGTCCAGTGGTTGCCAGACTAGAGGTACAACCTATAATAATTTTAATATAAAACTTGGAAAAATATTGAATAACATAATCTTCTTGATATTTACTCCAATGGAAACGAATGTAAGCCTAGAACCGATTACTGTATTGGCGGACTAATCTACCAGCCGATGAGCAAGCCAAAACATGTTGACATGTTTTAGTAAAATTCGTTAATTCGAATTTTTGTTTGTTAACCGAATTGAAGATTCTTATGGAAGGCAATTCGTTAACGAAATTTCATTAACCGAGGTGTTAAGTTAACAGAGGACCACTGTATTTCTAAGTCAGATTTGAACATTGAAGTGATATTCATATAATAATTTATTTATTTCCAAGGCAAATGGTAGACCCTGCTGCCATATGGCATCACAAAAATTATGACCAAGTCCCAGGTAGCTCATCTGACTTTCTGCCTCATTTACACACAATTGCAGGGTCTCAATTGTTTCTCTTACTTGGACAACACAACATACATAATGTACAGTATATTGTTTCTCACACTCTTGATTTTCTTTTCGTTTTTGTGTTTATTTATGGTTATTCTTATTCTTATTAATCTTATTATTATTTTTTTTTCTTTTTCTTTTATTAATTTGCTACAGGTATTAATTTTGTTGTAATTGTAATAATAATAATAATAATAGATATTATTATTATTACTATTATTTATTATTATATTTTCCCAGGCCTGATGTGGGTCAGTGACCTGTGCCTGGGTGGGCTAATCCCAATGTAAAAAAAAATAAATAAATAAAAAATTAAAGCAATGAAATGCTATTTGCACAACTTTATGGTTTCTTATGTAAACAAACAGTAAGAATGTTTGATAAAATGCTGGGTATGGGCTGTACAGTGTATGGAGATACAGTGACCCTCGTTTAACGAACACCTCGGTTAGCGTAATTTCGATTAACGAACTGCCTTCAATTGGTTGCGAAAAAAAATTAGTTTAACGAAGTTCTTACGAACCGACCTCAACATGTTTTTGCAAGCACGACGGGCAACCAGCTTTAGTATCAGTCGCCAATACATTAATCGGTTCTAGGGCTTAAATTCCTTACTATTAGTAAATATCAAGAAGTTTATACTATTCAATAATTTTAAAAGTTTAATATTCAATTTTTTAGTCATTTTAACAATTATTGAACATAATTGAAGGTAAAGTGACTAGTTTAATGCACGGCATCCAGCCTCTTAACACAGCAAACAGGAGTTAGTCTCTCTCTGTTTTCACTGGAGGTAACATCTTGCTTGAGACTCTCTTCAACTAAACGCTTTTTTCTGTGTTTCCAAGCAAATTATTGGTCATTTTGAAATATATTTTACATATTGACAATATATAATGCAGTGCAGTGTTGATTTAAAATAATCTTGAATTACACCAAGAGAGCTAAAATTTTATGGGTGAAATGGCACCATGGGGTGACTTCTCTTCCACCAATGCCTTCTCTTCTTCCTTCTCCTCCACCCCATTCTAAATCCCATCATCATCATCATCATCATCATCATCCAGGAGCCTTCTACATACACACCTCAAAGTAAGTGAACTTTTCTACCATTTTTGATGAATTTAGGAATTTTCGGTGAGCTGGAACCAATTACCAACAACCCATTGAAACAATGGTTTGATTAACGAACTTTTCGGTTAATGAACGACCTTCTGGAGCGGATTGAGTTCCTCAACGGAGGGTCACTGTAATTAGGTGTATGTCAGTGGTATTAGTAGAGTACCTTTTGACCAAAAATATTTACATTTGTGGAACTGTAAGAACAAACAGGAAGCACATCAGCAAAGAAGTGGTAAGCAAACATAACGAAAGGAAATGAAAGCAGTAGAAACAGGCATGATGTGAAATTTTTTAAATGAAAAGAAAAAGGATCTTTACTCTGTACCAGAGCGGTGGTGCTCTTATTTCAAAATGGCAAGATAACTGAGCAGGGAAGCTGTTTACAAACCTGAAAGAGACCTTGACTATAATAATAAAGCAAAGGTGTAGAAGTTGCTGATCACTGAATTTCTACTACTCCCACTTCGGAATCAAAAGAAATGATACAGGAAACTACCTTTCTTCATCATTGTAGGGACAGAAGTGATAAATGATCAAGTTTTATAAAACAAATATTGCAATAACCTGTCCATGGACCAAGACAATTCAGAGAATCTTTAGTGTTGTAATTAACTCCAAATACTCCCAAAGAAGACATTAAAGCAGGAAAAGGACCTCTGCCATAATCAGCCACAAGAACATTACTCTCCTGGAGGCAGATGGGCGTAAGAAAAATACAAGAAAAAGATCCGAGGATGTTATGAAAAGATATCACAACATTCTAAATGATCAGAATCACACTGAAAATATTTACGACCCGTCAGCAGGAGGCGAATTATGACTGCGAACTATACTTCATATTTTCCTGCCTCTGATAACGGCGTGTAAATATTTCAATATTCTGATCTTAAAAATTTTGGCATAATTTACTACAGTTGTACCTCTCTAGTCTGGCATTCTGTGGTCGGAAACTCCGTGGTCGGACCGATTATGAGTCCAATAGGTAGATAGGCAGGTTTTTTTTACTTATCTGAATTTTATTATTATTACAGGAGTATTAAATTTTTGCCCCTCAGGCCCCAATCTGGGTCAGTGACCTATGCCCGGGTGGGCTAATCCCCTTAAAAAAAAAAAACAGCCGCGGGAAACTAAGGTTTGTTTACATCCAGCAGTTCAGCTGCTCTCTCTCTCTCTCTCTGCTTGTCTATACAGAGTACAACATTTAACCCTTCAATATATATGAGCAGTAAATAAGTGTTGCTTTCATATTCTTATGTAGAGTAATGATGATATGTTTTCACATGTGCGCACTTACATACGCGCAGTCTCACTTTTCTTTTTACCATTAATGGTTAGCTACTTATATTGTTCTATTTATTAGCATTAAATAACATTACAGGTACTTCAAACAACCATATTAATTCTTTTACATTAATTTTACTACAGCTAAAATCAGGGTCTTATTTTCTTCAGTTTTATATGTAGAACCAATCAGTCACTGGTTTCGTAACCTTTAACATAAACAATGCCGGCAGCCGTCTCGTCTCCTCTAATATTCCACGTATTATTAATAAATTGTATTGTTAATTTTGCACACACACATTAATTCAATAAAACAAATTCAGAAACATTAATTAAAATATATATGAACAGTAAATAAGTGTTGCTTTCATATTCTTATGTAAAGTAATGACGATATGTTTTCACATGTGAGCATGCGCACTTACATACGCGATCTCTCTTTTTTCTTTACCATTATCGTTAGCTACTTCTATTGTTCCATTTATTAACATTAAATAACATAACTTAAAACAACCATATTAATTTTACTACAGCTACAACCAAGGTCTTATTTTCTTCAGTTTTATATGTAGAACCAGTCAGTCACTGGTTTTGTAATCAACGAAAACAATGCTGTGTCATTTCCTCGTGTGTTTTAATTTTCTACGTATTATTAATGAATTGTATTGCTCATTTTGCACACATAAACATTAATTCAATAAAAAAGACATTCAGTAATAAACAATAATGAATCTTTTGTACATAAGAGAAATGACGCTGTTTACACGATTATGCACGTCGTCTGCACGTTGGCGGGCCGTTCAAACCCGTCGAAATTCAAGTTTCCGCCGTCAAAATTTTTATTTATTTATTTTTTTGTGTTCCAATAAAATACGTTAAGAATTAAAAACTCGCGAAATTTGAGAAGCTACTATACGACATTTAACCCTTCAAAGAGACCATGATGCAGAGAAAGTGTTGCTAGTGCTTCCAAGCATAAGCACAAGTCACTATCTATCCAAGAAAAGGGTGAATTTCCATGGTCCGGCAATTTCCATGGTCCGGCACCGGTCAGGTCCCGAGGTTGCCGGACTAGAGAGGTACAGCCTGTATTACTGATATGTAGTTTGTCTTACTGTAGTATATCTTATTGTAGGTAAAAATACAGTAAGTACATATTAAATGCATCCTCCGAAAACGTGAATTTGCTACTCGAGTTTATCAGTTAATTCACGTATAATACTTCTGATAAACTTCCTACCTCCTGTTTGAAATAATGAAGGTATGTATCTTATATAATTTAGCTATATATCTTTCTCGCCAGAAATGGTCATCCCAACGATTATGAATAAACTCTATTAGAAATACATCATTACTCAGGACAAAATCGGACAGGTTTGCAACAGTCAATCAGCTGTAACTCTTGAGGAGGGGGCGGGGCATTTTTTTCAGATGAAAAAAACGCAATAGTACAAGTACTCGAAAAACTATAAAGTCAAAGACCTGAGATTAAAAAAATAAATACTACTACAGTACTACTACTACTAAAAAAAAAAAACTGCTGTTTATAACTGTAATATAATGCCACAGTACTGTACTGTGCTGAAGGACACCAAAAATGTTAATTAAAAACATTTTGCAGCATTTCAAGAAATTTTAGGGATGTTTTCTTTGTAGGAGTATGGGCCAATTGCAAGAACAGTCGTTGGGTGTACGACGCCATTTACGATGACCTTCTTGCCCTGATCTTGTTTCAGGAATACCTCCCTTTTGAAGCTCTGGAGAGATCTCGAAGTTTCGATATTTTGAGTACAGCACTAGCTAATAATTCCCACCAGGAAACTTGTTTTGAGACTCATCCAAAGCTTCGAAAAGTGCAGAATTCCATGTGTTAAAGGCGATATTGCTGAAAAAGACCAGGGCAAGAAGGTCATCGTAAATGGCGTCGTACACCCCATAACCGTTCTTGCAATTGGCCCTTTGTCTCAGCTTTTATAATGGGAGCCTAGAAGAAAATGTGATCTGATTTACAAAAGGTTTTCAGATACCCTTTCATAAATTGGGGAAAGTCTGTACCTCACCAACATGATATACATTATACACCACTGAAATTCCCTGCCTGGAGGAAATTGAAACAACTTCAAAAGTAGCTTATCCAAATGTCATTTTGAAGGGTTGTTGCAAACTGAACAACTTAGGTTATCTTTTTAAAATGTTAATGAATGTTTCCCTCGGTATTTCAATATTACCATACATCTTCATCCGCTTTTTCCCCTCGGCCTGACGTTTCAGCAGCTTCATCTTTCTTGATATATCGCCTCCATACTGAAATGTGAGAAAATGTCTTCTTATAGCAGAGAAACAGTACTACATGTATTTTGGATCATCTCACCCTAAATAAAGGAAGGAAAGTAGGTGATATGACTTTTTTCTTAAGACCCCTTCCACTATATTTTGGGTTGGCAGGAATCAAGAGCTAACCCAGACTCTCTTAATTTACTGTCATCCATTTAGGCTTTGTGCTGCAACATCCCTATAATTCACTCGATGTCAAGCTCTCCTATCACTCACACACACCCCTACTTCCTAAATAGCTGTCCTTCTCATTTCTAGTGCTTTATTCACCCTATCCTTTCATATCCTTCTTGGTCTGCCCCTCTTCTTTCTACTTTACACTCTTTCCAACAATTTTTCACTTTCCATTCACTCAATATGCTATGCCATTTTTGCAAAGTCTGGTCAGCTCTCTGTCTTACATTTCTCTCATGCCCACATCTCCTAATTTGAGAGTTTCTTATTTTCTATATTCTATTCATCCAATACACAGGCAGTGCTCTAAAGTACCGCATTACTGTTGCTTCCAATTTAATTTTATTTATTTACATGAAAAATATGCTTCATAATCATATGCTGTACTAATGTTGAATCAGTAATTCCTCTACACTCTACATCTCCAACTTTGTAATTACAGTACTGTACTTTATTTCACTTTTACTCTTTACTTTAATTCATCACTTCAGAGGCAGTTGTGGGTGGGGGAACATGGCAAGCACAGCAAGCCCACTCAGCTGGTTTTTTTTTAGGGAGGGGGCACTGTAAGCCCAACCTGGAAAATTTGTGAAATCTGACAATATCATGGGCATTTTGAGGCCATGTGCACCAGATACTAGGATATTCTGAAATCAACAGTAATTACATTTTACTAAAAAATGCCTGAGTACAATATGGCATTAAAGAAATAGTATTGGAATTTTCTGATGAAAGGGGGGATCCAACCCCCTTGCATTCATAGTTCCATCCACTGCCAGACACCTTATACCAGTATACCACCCTCTTTCCCCATTTCTATCTTCTTTTAAACTTACCTATTTCTCCCGGTATCGCTTCTCAACTTGACTTTTTTAATTTAAACTAGTATACAATTTTAATTTATTTACTAACTTTCTTTCTTCAGCTTCCAGGATGATACAGAGAACATGACATTTCATAAAATCTTAATTTTTTCCTTTCATCTGTTATTGTATATCTCTAACATTATAGCACATTATCTCACTCAAATTTATTATCTTACTCATTCTAGTTACCCAAACTCAGTAGCCATTCTTTTCTTTCAGCTACTATTCTTTGTAGTACTATAATTTGTTTTCAATTTCATCTTTCCCCCTCTCTCTAATCACCTAATGTTGTTTAAATTTTTTTCTGGAAAATCCACACCAACTATTCACACACTACTTGTCTTTGTATGGTTACATGTCCAGATGCATCTTGCACAATAAAGAAGTTTATAACATTGTTGACGAATTCACTTAGCCAAGTGGGTCAAATTTTCCTTTCACTTCCCTTTTCACTATTCAGATTATGATACTGTTAAGTAATGTACTTCATTATTTAATCTGACATCTTCTAAATCTCAGGTATCTGTTTTTCTTTGGTCCCTATACAGTAATTAAATTTCACACTCAAACTCCTCTTAATAACTAATCCACCTTTGCTTTAACTGACTTATAGATTTAATTAACATTGAGTCTTTTCTTCATTTTCTATTTCTTTATTTTTATAACCCTTCCCCATTATAATAGAGGGAGGCCATAATCAAGAGCACACACACTCTGCATTCAGTCTTTCAATGATTCACACTGCTGTACCATGTTCAGCCATATCTAATGTTGTTAGTACATTATATAGCAACAACAATATCGTCTAATCCTTTGAAGTACGTTTAAACTTACACATTTGGCGAGGACATCTTTCCGCATGGCTTTTATATTGGTTCGTGCGAGGATCTCTCCTCCAACAGCAGCTTGTATTGCAATCTACCAGTAAAATTATGAAAATGATTTTAATAAAATTAAGTAGACAGGAGGAAATGTTATGAGCTAGGACCTACCGATGGAGCTGGATGTGACAAGGAGTTGTTTTTCTCAAAATTAGTAAGAAATGAGTGAAAATGCAAGAATCAGCCAATATCACTGTGAATATCAGCAAAAAATTTAAAGTACAGGTACTCCTCGACTTACGACCACCCAGACATACGACAGCCGCAGTCGTATAAAATATTTTTCAAATTATGTATTTTCGAGTCTCCACGTTAGTGATCGCACTGTGTACTGACAAAATTCTCGTTTGTAATGCCCTTTAAAATGGCTACCAAGCGTAAAAGTGAGAGTTCTCGTGGTGCTGAGAAGAAAAAGAGACACCCATTTTAGATTTTTGATGTATTATTTTCGCCTTTTCGACTGACGACCTGGTCGTCGGTCCGGAACCCCGTCGTAAGTCGAGGAGAGACTGTAAGCTATGATAACACTTCACAGCGAAGGACACCTGCAACTGTGAAAAGTTCATATACGTGTGTGTGTGTGTGTGTGTGTGTGTGTGTGTGTGTGGAGGCAAGAAGGACACCAGGTTGACTGTCAAAAGAGCCATATGGGAAACAATGGCTTAAGTCCCATATGCCACACCCAGCGAGTGTTTACTAATTGTTATCAATCTATCTTAACCAAGTTACAGTAAATGCTGTGAAAAGCAATGTACAAGTATTGGAAATTAACTGTGTCAGATGTGTTGCGGCACTTTTTATAATTAATGCCCACTCACTGCCAACACCAATAGTACCTGCAGGGGGGTCAGGCACATGTCCAAGTGCCACCTTCCCCCCTGTTGTCTATAATATGTATATAAATGTTACTAATGTATTCTCTGTTCTTGCATGAAACTTTCTCCTGAAAATTATAAGCAGATATATACAATAGATGCAAAGAGATATAAATAATTTATCATTATCAACAAGAATGACAATCTGAACTAATAACTTTGGAACTGAACTAGTTTGCATAGCATTTCATATGAGACTAAGTGGCTGCAGCTTTCCAATTTGGTGCTGTCAATATGTCAGCAGAAGTGTGTCAATGTTCACAGAAGGAACTGCATGTGCACTTGCTGCTTGACTATGATCTCAAGCCCTGTGAATTTCTCACACATTAGGTATGTTTGCGCCGTATGCACTGCCAGTAAGGCCTGTTCACACTTATGTTGCCCCCTTGTGATGTGCTATTGTCCCAGGGAGGGAACAGTGGTGCAGCACTAGGCTTAGGGCTGCTTGGAGCCGTGTGCACAAGGGTGTTGGCAGCTAACAGGTACTATGGGTTAGGTCGGCATGGGATTGGTTGAAAGGACTCCCTATACATTGTACTATTTACTTTATATAGTCTCAACATACCTGGAACAATTGTTTGGGTAAGGTTTCCCTTAGTTTCTCACAGATGTGTTTCCCCATTGTCCTGGCTTGAGAAATATGAACAATCGTTGACAACTCTTGTATAACGTGACCATTCAGCAGAATATCAAGCTGTGGAAAAGACAGAAAACTGGAAAACAGGTTTGTGTAGGACGTGTACTTCAATAAAGCACTCCAGTATGCATTAACACTCTCACAGTCTTGGACACAATTGACATGTCTGAAAAGTTTCACTACACTTTTCTAAAATAAATAAATAATACTAGGGGAATGTTGGAATATAATTCCAATGTCTAAGGGTTTTGTTGCATGCTTTTGAAACTGACAGTATTAAATGCACTTTAGTAATATTCAAATATATTAAATAACTATACGGTACATATTTGTAATATACAGTACTTTCATTGCATCAAATTAAACATTTAATTGTTACAGAGTTTGTGTATCATATGAAATAGCATATCAGTATTGGGTATTTATCAATATTATTGCAATTGTGCATTTTGGAAGCGTATCAGTATCAGCTATTCATAAGTATTGGAGTATCGGTATAGGCCAAAATTTTGGTAATGTTATCGGCCAAAATATTGATATACTGTACTGTTGGTACATATCTATTCCAAGATATGATATGCAATCTTGCCATGGTGTAAAACATGCAACCCACGTGGGATGCACGGGAGGTTCTGCCCATCCCTGGTGATTGCCAGGCTAAGCAACAGCACATGTCACATCGCCCAGAGGATGGTTTGTGTGTGAAAGAAGCTATTCTTAGAACATTAAAAAAGAAAAAAAATTATATATATATATACAGTTGTACCCCACTTAACGCGGTCAATAGAACCCAGAGGGTCCCGCGTTAAGTGAAATCCGCGTTAAGTGAACAGCAGAACATATGGGATTAATTCCAATAGAAACCGGCCCGACCCCCAAACTCCACTTTTTGAAGACACATAACTATGTTGTAGTAAAAATAACATCTTAATTTTATGATGGTACATGCACACAATTAATACTTAAGAGAAATAGAGAAATACAGTCGCCAAGTTAATGTCCATTCAAATAATGGACTCTACTCCCTCCCCCTCTCACACTACACTGCCGGCTCTTCCCTCTCTGAGAAATTTTTTGGGGAAAACCACTAAATTTTAATAATTAATACCTCAAACTAAAGTTAGGATAATACAATTGACATTGCTGGATTCCTTGTAAGACCAGGAATATTTTGAATATAAATGTCTTATATTTTGCACAAAAGATAACATAGTTACCCAGAGAAAAATTTTTATCTAAAATTTGTATGTCTAATGCAAAATATATGATGTTTATATTCAAAATGATCACCAAATTATAAGAATTCCAGCAATGTAAATTATATTCTGACCGGGTAATTTGTATGAATTTTATGAGCTAAAACAAATATCTTCAGTTAATAATAAAAAAAAAAAATAATCTTCACGACACTATCTGTCAATCAAAGTACCCCACCTTGCCTCCCCCCTCTTCCAACCGCTCAGTCCCAACCCTCCCCCCCCACCCCCCACCAAGAGAAAGAGTGGGTGAAAAAAATAAATTTTAACATTTTGTATTAAATAATACCTCAGATTAAAGTTAGGATAATATAATTGACATTGCTGGATTCCTTGTAAGACCAGGAATATTTTGAATATAAATGTCATATATTTTGCACAAAAGATAACATAGTTACTCAGAAAACATTTTATCTAAAATTTGTATGTCTAATGCAAAATATATGATGTTTATATTCAAAATGATCATCAAATTATAAGAATTCCAGCAATGTAAATTATATTCTGACCGGGTAATTTGTATGAATTTTATGAGCTAAAACAAATATCTTCAGTTAATAAAAAAAAAAAATATTCTTCACAGGGTAACAGATGGTCGGTCGGTCCCTCCCTCCCCCCCACCCCCCACCAACCGTCCCAAGGAGATGTGTGGGAAAACCAGAATACTTAACTTTTTTGTAATAAATAATACCTCAAACTAAAGTTAGGATAATATAATTGACATTGCTGGATTCCTTGTAAGACCAGGAATATTTTGAATATAAATGTCATATATTTTGCACAAAAGATAACATAGTTAATTTGAGAAAAAATTTTATCTAAAATTTGTATGTCTAATGCAAAAATATGATGTTTATATTCAAAATGATCACCAAATTATAAGAATTCCAGCAATGTAAATTATATTCTGACCGGGTAATTTGTATGAATTTTATGAGCTAAAACAAATATCTTCAGTTAATAAAAAAAAAAATAATCTTCACAACACTATCTGTCAATCAAAGTACCCCACCTTGCCTCCCCCCCTCTTCCAACCGCGCGGTCAGTCCCAACCCTCCCCCCCACCCCCCACCAATCCTCCCTTCCAGGGTTTTTAACATTTAGTATTAAATAATACCTCAGATTAAAGTTAGGATAATATAATTGACATTGCTGGATTCCTTGTAAGACCAGGAATATTTTGAATATAAATGTCATATATTTTGCACAAAAGATAACATAGTTAATTTGAGAAAAATTTTTATCTAAAATTTGTATGTCTAATGCAAAAATATGATGTTTATATTCAAAATGATCATCAAATTATAAGAATTCCAGCAATGTAAATTATATTCAGACCGGATAATTTGTATGAATTTTATGAGCTAAAACAAATATCTTCAGTTAATAAAAAAAATAATAATTCTTCACAGGGTAACAGATGGTCGGTCGGTCCCTCCCTCCCCCCCACCCCCCACCAACCGTCCCAAGGAGATGTGTGGGATAACCACTAAATTTTAATAAATAATACCTCAAACTAAAGTTAGGATAATATAATTGACATTGCTGGATTCCTTGTAAGACCAGGAATATTTTGAATATAAATGTCATATATTTTGCACAAAAGATAACATAGTTAATTTGAGAAAAATTTTTATCTAAAATTTGTATGTCTAATGCAAAAATATGATGTTTATATTCAAAATGATCACCAAATTATAAGAATTCCAGCAATGTAAATTATATTCTGGCCGGGTAATTTGTATGAATTTTATGAGCTAAAACAGGCAGTCAGGCAGGGTGGCGGGTGGGTGGGGTAAATCTAAAAATAGCGTCTCGAGCCGGACACTCACTGCGTATATGTGGAAAAAATCCGTGTAAAGTGAAAGTTCAGCTCTGGCGAGGCACCGCGTATATGATAAAACGCGTTAAGTGAAACCGCGTTAGGCGAGGTAATACTGTATATATATATATATATATATATATATATATATATACATATATATATATACATATATATATATATATATATATATATATATATATATATATATATATATATATATATATATATATATATATATATATAAAATATATATATATAAAATATATATATATATATATATATATATATATATATATATATATATATATATATATATATATATATATATATATATATATATATATATATATATAGTGACCCTCCGTTAACGAGCAATCTGTTCCTAAGGTCTTTAGATTAGCAAGCCATTGTTTTCAATAGGTTTTTGGAGTAATTGGTTCAACTCACGAAAATTTCCTAAATTCAACAAAATGAATTAGAGTTTCCTTACTTTGAGGTGTGTATGTAGAATGCTCCTGGATGATGATGATGATGGGATTTAGAATGGGGGGTGGAGGAGAAGGAAGAAGAGAAGGCATTGGGGTGGAAGAGAAGTCACCCCATGGCGCCATTTCACCCGTAAAATTTTAGCTCTCTTGGTGTAATTCAAGATTATTTTCTTTAAATCAACACTGCACTGCATTATATATTGTCAATATGTAAAATATATTTCAAAATGACCAATAATTTGCTTGGAAACACAGAAAAAAAGCGTTCAGTTGAAGAGAGTCTCAAGCAAGATGTTACCTCCAGTGAAAACAGAGAGAGACTAACTGCCTGTTTGCTGTGTTAAGAGGCTGGATGCCGCGCATTAAACTAGACACTTTACCTTCAATTATGTTAAATAATTGTTAAAATGACTAAAAAATTGAATATTAAACTTTTAAAATTATTGAATAGTATAAACTTCTTGATATTTACTAAAATAGTAAGGAATTTAAGCCCTAGAACCGATTAATGTATTGGCGGACTGATACTAAAGCTGGTTGCCCGGTCAGTGCAAGCGAAAACATGTTGAGGTCGGTTCGTAAGAACTTCGTTAACAAATTTTTTTCGTTAACCGAATTGAAGATCCTATATGGAAGGCAGTTCGTTAATCGAAATTAGTTACCGAGGTGTTAGTTAAGCGAGGTCACTGTATGTATATATATATATATATATATATATATATATATATATATATATATATATATATATATATATATATATATTATATATATATATATATATATATATATATATATATATATATATATATATATATATATATATATATATATATATATATATATATATATATATATATATATATATATAGTGGTCCCTCGGTTAACGAAATTTCGGTTAATGAATTACTTTCCATAAGAATCTTCAATTCGGTTAACGAGCAAAAATTCGATTAACGAAATTCTTACGAAAACATGTCGACATGTTTTGGCTTGCTCATCGGCTGGTAGATTAGTCCGCCAATACAGTAATCGGTTCTAGGGCTTACATTCGTTTCTATTGGAGTAAATATCAAGAAAGTTGTGTTATTCAATATTTTAACAAGTTTTATATTAAAATTATTAGTCATTTTAACACTTATTTAACATAATTGCAGTACAGGGAACTAGTTTTTGGTGTGCCCATCAGCCACTTCACTCACCCACCAAGGAGTCTGTTTGAGTCTCTGTTCAGTGGAGGAAACATCTTGCTTGTGGGTCTCTTGAACACAGAGTATTTTTACATTTTTACAGTACAATTATTGGTCATTCTGAAATTTTTTAACATTTTGACAATATATAGTGCAGTGCAGTGTTGATTTAAGGAAAATAATCTTGAATTACACCTAGTGAACTTAAAATTTTATGGGTGAAATGATGGCATCAAGCATGGGGTGATTTCTCTTCCAACCCCACTTCCTTCTCTTCTCCCTTCTCCTCCACCCCCACGTC